AAGTACATATATACTTGACGTTCGTAATCGTACCCCCGCCTCAGTCAGGCTCTCAGGCTCGGAGGCTCGGAGGCTCGGGTTACCTCACCTCACCCACACCCACCACAGAATATGGAATTAATCAATCCTACTCCCACTTACGCTCTCATTGATCGATATCTCGGTACTCCCACACCAAAACATCGACGAAATTAAATCAGATACAAATTGATAGCAAAGCCAAGCTCGAAAACAGCTCACCAGTTAATATTATCACCCGATTCAGAGTCAGAGTCAGAGTCGAGTTCAGCTGGCACAAGCACAGCTAGGTAGGGTGTGGTAGGACACGTCTTACTCTTCGACGCCGACGGCTACTCTTCACATACCTACTTACCTACCTAATATATTGCTCGCCCAACCTAAGGTAGGTAGGGCTGATCGCTAATCATGAGTGGCGCGCCATATATATACATATATATATTTACACACATATATGGTAGAAATGGTAGAAAGCACAACCACGCTGTACACCTCGAGCTCAAATTTCGGTACCACCTCCTCCAACGAGTTTGTTACCTCCTCCGCAATGATTCGAAGTATGGATGCACGCACGCACGCACACCACACACACGTTTATAATTACATGTAGGTATATCACACTAGTACTAAAGCCCGGCCGGCCGGGCAGGCGGTAATAGGTATGCAAGTGTAGTAATCGCAATCTCCCACAATGATTGGCTTTTTGATTCATGATTCAGGTTATTGAATGGCGGCGTCCGGGGGGGTAATTATACTGCATATTGTTGGCTACATCGATGTGATCGGTGGGATATCAGTGGGATATCTCGATAGATAGCTAGGTTGGACTCGCGGCCAGACATCCGCCATTGGTTAGAAGTACTTACATATGTATGTATGTACTTGGGTAGTTACCTTATTATAAGGTATCGAGGTCGAGGTATAGGTACGGTAGCTATAACAATACCCCCCCCCCCCCCCCCCCCCCACTCAGCCAGCCAGCCAGCCAGCCAGCCACATCATGATCAGGGGAACCGAGTTCTTCGTCATCCTGTAATCCTATGCTCTAGGTCATCATCGCCACATGTACATCTCTCACCGCCATGCGTTCTCTCTTGAATGTTATATCCGAATACAATACCCGCTGAAAACAACTTTGAAAAATTATATTCAGGAGAGTATAGCTACATATAGCTATATCTTTAAATTTAGATTCCTCCCAAGATCTAGACAAAAAAGATATTTCTAATTATAACCATCTCGTTTGCCAAAAAAAAAAAAAAAAAAACACGTTGTCCGATCACAAACAAAAGAAAAGAAACAGAAAATCCTGCTCTGAGAGCCAACTGATCACAATCGATCTAGATAAGCTTTATTGCAACATCTCAAGTCCTTTTTTCCCAAATCTTTTTTTTTTTTTTTTTTTTTTGAAAACTGAAAGGAATTCGAAGATATCATGAAAGGCCCAACCAAATCAAGGATATTGCCGTTCAAGCATCAGATATGTATTACAATAGGTACCTACTTTCAGTTGCCGGGGCCACTCGATCGGCATACTTGGGAAATTTACCCTTTTTTTTTTACAGACAAGAATTTCGCTTCCATACTTAAGCTTGCAATTGTCCCCAAAATTTAAAGTAGCAACCTGACCTGCTTCAATCCAAGTTGGCTAAAAAAAAAATTCAATTTACCAAACACACTTTTTAATGGACTGTAGTTTTTTTTTTTTTTTTCCCTATTTAAATTGATCATGAATAAACACTAACATGTGGAAAAAACTGATTCCTGCGACTTGGAGAGGTTTTCAGGTCCTTCCGAGCGGCCTGGGGCTGGCCCAGGCCAGTGGTGGAGTGGCAGCAGGCATGGTGCCAATGATGAGTGGCCCACATGCATAGCGAATGGCATGCAACACATATACATACATACATACGTACATACACGAGAACATGTACACAATCTAGCTCGTCAAAGAAAAGAGAAAACAAGAGCTAGGGAGAGTAAATTTAAAAGGAAGAATGGTTTGAAATAAAAAACAATGCAGGACCTTTCTAAGAGGACGACTATTTTCTTACTATAAGACTCGATTGCTTATAATCAAGAGGAGAAAGAAAATGAAAGCACATGCAAACTATTCCCACATCCACATAAGAAAAAATGTTTCGTCACCTCAACCCTCAACCCACAACCCAGCCGGAGTGAGATATCGATGTATCAGATGCAAACCCAAGCCCAAGCGCCATCCATGATGATAAAAAAAAAGAAAATAAAATAAAAAAAGAGAGTTAAACTAGTGAAAAGTATAAAAAAAAAAACGGCCGAAGAAAAAGAAGGGTATAAGCCCCCCAGATCACCCCTAGATATACTTGAAGTGATGCATGCCCCCAGACACTACATCTCCGCGGCAGGGGCTTCGAGCGGCGAGACAGGCTCCTTGACCATCACATATCCCTCAAATCCCTCGCGAACCACATACTCCAGGAATTCCTTCATAGGGATTGCGTATTCGATCCCACCGTCTTCATACACCGCTGGAAGCGCACCGCCGGCATGGAACTCGGCCGTCGGCATCAGGGATCCGCAGACAGGGCACTGGCAAACGCGAAAAACCCCAAAGTCCTGGATCCGGATAGGCGGGGTGTCCCAATGAAAATCTACTCCCATAGGCTTTTCCTCAGCGTAGTCCCATGCCAGGGAAAGATGATTTCGATTATACGGTTTGCGTGCGAAAAAGCGACGGATCTGGTACGCGAGCTTGAATACACCACGAGGCATCTTTGCAATCGTCGGAATGAGTTGTTCGCTTCCACTTGCTGTTGACAGATGCCCCTGGCTGAGTCTCCTGACGAAGCTTTCGTCCCCAAAGGGGCTGTTGAAGGCAAAACGGGCATCACGGTCGTCCACATTGTAGAACGCGCCTGATTCGTTGTGAGCAAAACTTTCGCGAGAGCTGGACTCGCTGCTAGTGTTTGGCAGCTCTGGCTCTGGCTCTTCCCTTCTTCCAACGTTTCCCATACACAAGGCGGCAAATCCTACCCAGCCAGCAGCGACCACTTGCATCAGACGTTTCACCCCGCTTATCCTGCTCGTGCCAGAACTACGCTCATCTGTAAATGGCGAGGGTGTTGCTGTTGCAGTAGCAGTGACTGTAAACGTGACTACGGGAAGGGTATCGTTGGTGCCCGTGGCCGTTTTGGTTTTCTTACTGGCGAAGCCTGACGTGGCCAAAGGTGTGGTCGTTGTGGTGGTTGAGATTGTGAGGGCTTCGTACTGCTCTCCTAGGCCGCTGAGATCCCCTTCTGTTCCATTCCGATACTTGATCTTCCTCGTCAAGAGATTGCCTTGCGCACCATTCGGTAGTTCAAATATATACGTTCTAGGAATGTTAGCTGGCTAGGGCAGATATTCATTGAATGAGAGGCTTACTTTGGATTATAGCAGAATGCAGCTTCTTTGAGACCATCGAATTTGACGCATTTGCTCTCACCGTAACCTTGAGACTACGTTAGGAGTAATTACTTTGGAAGGGTTCGGAGAAACGTACAGCATAGTTGGAAGTTGGCAGCCCTATCGCCAAAGTCCGAGTCTCGCCGTAGCAGATTATCAAGCACCTTGTACAATCTGGTCTCCGAAATAGCGAGAGGCAGCTCGGTTGATGCAATTGTATTTTGCTGCTCGAAAGGGAGTTCATGCCTTTTGGTGACTGTATCCGGGCGAGGGCCGCCACTAGCGGCACCATCCGCAAATGTAGTGGGCAGCAGAGTGGAGGTGCGGTCTGAGATGAATGTGAGGGTAGGCTCATTGGAGTGCATCCCAGGGTCTTGTTCACCGGGGCCTTTGCCGACAGGAGTTAACCCATTGTTGGTGCCCAACTTGTGGGTGGCCGTGTTTAATTTGCACTGAAGCGTGCTCCCGGCGCTTTCGCAGCGTCCTGCATGGGCCCAAGGCTCAGCGCAGGTCAAAATGAACACTGCGAAAGCTGCGAAATAGAAGCCTGCGTTGACCATCCTGGCTAAGCGTGTGGGCCGTAGTACCCGACAGGATCGGGCGAATCCCCCAGGAGGGGCGAAAGAGTGTAGTTATATACCAGAGGTTCAAAGAGAGGAGGAGCGTAGGGCTGGGAGGCGAACGAGCGTTGTGGTAATTCTGAAGCAGCCGTGGGTGCAGATGTGCCTGACTTTCGAGGGACTGGGCTGGATGTGTGGGGCCGTGGGGGTGGGGATGTGAGGGAGGTGAGGGGGGGGAGGGCTTATAGAGATGGATAGTGGTGGGTGGAAGATGGTCTCGTTCCCGAGCGGTGGGGAGGTTTGTGTGCGTGCGTGCGTGCGTGCGTGCGTGTGCTATCTTCTCAGTTATTGTGCTAGTGCGCAGTGCTCCGTCTCGACAGCGCGCTATAAATCTTTGCTTCCGTCGGTGTCGATATCGATGTTTTCGCGCCGTTCGGCTGTTCTCTGATCTGCTGTTCTCTTCTTCTTGGCGGGACGAGGCTAACTGTAACTTTCCCCGTACATGGGCCTATTGAATTGCTTGCTGCTGAGGCTGCTTCGTGGTATTTATTTGGGGACTGGTATTTATTGGGCGTCGGCCCGCGTCGCAGCGACGCTGTGTGCGTGTGTGTGGTGCGTGTGGCCGCGCAGATGCGTGCGCGGGTGCGGGCTGGGCGTGTGGTCGTGGGTGCTCAGGTGCACTCGGCTCGAGATTGGGAGTGGACGGACAGGCTCGCTCAGCAGCCTCTGAAAGTAGGCATTCGTCCCCCCACCCCCCATATAATGGCGATCGTATTACCATCCCACCAGAATGTGGGCTGCCTTGATCTCGTGCCCAGCGTCTAGGGATTGCCTCAGGTCCGGCCGGTACTACGGAAATATAAATAAAGTTTTCCAGAGACAAAATTCGCGTACATGCACCTCGACAAGAGCGGACGTCAGCACGTTGCACAGCAGAAAACCGGTATCGAATTGGCTGAACCAATCAGAATCGCATAATCCTCAAATTGGACATGAACATCCGTCATGGTGTAGTGGCTAGCATTTCAGACTCTCATGATTACTTCTTGCAAGTATCCTGTGAACTCTGAGAACCCGGGTTCAATTCCCGGTGACGGAAGATTTCATTTTTGCCATTTTTTAATTGCTGTCGAATGTCCTTCCCAGTTATAAGATCTTGAAATGCGGAACGCAACGGATCCATGAGATCACCTCGAGAAGATCTCGTTGCAATTGCCATGCACATTTCTATCCGAGTTTTCTCTTCATAAATAGAATGCATTTCAATGATAGCCTCGTCTGCATTCAATTCGCGCGAGAACAGGATTCAAATCAAGACTCAAAACCCAACTTCTAAACTCGGGTAACACTTGAATCCGACCAGTACATAGCAGCAGATCCATATCGCAATCGATCTGAGCCTCGCTGATGATGGCATGTGACAGCATATGACGGATTGTACATACCTACTTATTTTCTACTCCCAATTCTGTACGAACAATTATAAACTATTCTCGTTCCCAATTAAGTAAGTAACGTCGTAAATGAACTGTCCTTTAGGTACTTACATATGTACCGTAAGTACCGTACCTTGTAGGCCATACACAGAGTTACCTCACTAGATCATGTGCATTTTTTTTCCACACCTTGGCCCATGGCCATATGGCCAAACAATTGTCACCTTTTTTTTTTTTTTTTTTTCTTTTGAAGAATGTCGATGTTTAATTTATAAATTTTTGTTTGATCTTGATCTCCGTGTGATCATGATACATACCTTAGGTATATATATATGCTTGTTGTGATTTGTCCCAGGCATATATAGTATTTATGTAGGTAGGTAGGTAGGTCATCTGGGAGGTTAGTAATCGATATCTGGTTGCTTTGAACAATTGTTGAACTAGGTATTTACATCCTATCGAGATTTGTAGATCTAGAAAGGCGTTCGAGGAAGACGATGGGAATGCATTACAGGTTCGGCTGATCTTCAACACGATAGTAGAATACATAAGTACGGAATGATTGGGGAGACGTACATCAGGGGAAATAATTTAGCGAGTTTCCTGTGATATCGATCATGATCAGGTGCTCCAGATCGCAGGTGTTTCTTAAGCTTTTCCTGTGGTCCGGCAACATTTTTGCCAACAAAATCCTCACAAAAATCATGTCATTTGGGAAATCCAAAGCTACACTCCCCTAATTATAAACATAATTTTCTCATAAATTTCTAAAGTTATTTTCAGCAGGCTTAAGTGTTCGCATATAAAATTCAAGATAAAACGGCCGCTGTGAGACATATACATTCATGCTGTGCAGTCACCCAGAGCACCCGGTCACAGGATCACGAAAAACCTCGTTCTCCTGATAATGATTCAGGCCGGGCCGGACTAGGCGGAGGCCTGTATACAGGCGAAGGGTATACGTACAATAGTTCTATAAGCCGTGGGTTCAGGCGAGGCCAGGGGGCAGGCTGGCAAGACACTACCTATATTGAGACTTGATCAAATTTTGAACTGGGCGCCGTTGCAGATTGGGTTGATAAGCAATGTCGACCAGCTGACGACCAGCACTCAATGTTGTCAAATAGTTACATGTACCATTCACAAGTGCAATAGCCTGGTTGTCAGAATCGAGGCTATGGTTGTCATTCACAAACAAACAATTCAATTCATTACTTTGAGCTTTTGCTCCTGCCATACCTACTTAACGGTGCATGCGGGGTTACTTGAATTCAAAAAAAAAAAAACCCCCCTTTTAGTTAGTCTCGTGCCCATGTAGCTCAGTCTCGTTGTAGCTAAGCCACTAATGATTTTCGTTAGTCTCATTCCCATTTAGGTAGTCTTGCGCCGTTCCTATTTGGTCAAGCGTACTAAGTACTTTCGGGACTGACCAGCCCCTGCTTACCATTTTGGGATGTCGGTCAATACAAACTTGGGAAGGAGATACATTAAGTACATATGTACTTAGTCTGTGCCCAGGGAGGACACTAGACTTCAACTTCCGACCTCACACCTCTCGTTTCTGCAGGCGGGGCGGCCTTTCCGCCCCCCTCCCCATGTCTTCTGCCCAAGCCTCATCACACCTTTCCCCCCATCTCTCCCCCCTCCTCCTCTCACCTCCACTCAAACCCTCATCACTTGTGGCCCTCACTCATCTCCTTTCCTCCTCGTGCAAGCTCCTTTGATTCCCACTACATCTCTTCGCCTTTAACGAAATGCCATCCATCAGAAGCATCTCTCCATCGTTTCTCCCTTTGCTCGCCATTGCTCAATGCCTTCTTCTCCCCGAAGTTGCAGCCCACCCTGCCGAGCGTTCTTGCTCGTGCATGAATCCTGCTCAACAGCGTTGCGGAGATGCAAGCCACAATTTGTGTTGTGGGTTCTCCTCTTTATATCAGAAAATACTATAGCTGACAACCTCCATTTCAGGCTCCCAAAACTACGATTGCGTTTACTTGAAGCCATTTTACCATGTTTGCTACAATTCGGAGTACGCTCATGCTCTTCCTATTACATCCGTACCCTCATGCCCCTAATTATACATGCTAACGATCATACCCAGTACTGGTGACTGGATTATGCCCGATGGCTCTCGTGGAAAAATGCCGCTTAGCCTCACCCATGGCCATACCCATACGCAAATGCCCGAGGCTACCAGGGAAGCTGAACTGAAGGCCAGAAACCCAGCGGAAGAAGGAAATGTCTACCACGATAGGTTTACTCGGTACGGTATTACAGAAACGGAGGACCACCAGCACGATACTCGGTCCCCTTGCACTTGCCATGGCTACATCACAATCACTCATAGCATTGACCATCCATTGGAAACTCAGCATGAAACAAAGACTCAGAGTCACGACTTGCCAGTGGAAAGTCAGCAAGAATCTCACCCAGTCCCCACTGACGAGCCACATGAAACCAAGACAAAAGCCTATTCTGGCAAGATGCCAGAAGGGACTCATGAAGCTTCCAGTCTTGATGTACCGCACTCTACTCCTGGCACTGACCATGAGCTCGAGGGCCCAACCAAAACCAGCAAAACAGAAGTTATTCATGTTCCAGGACAGACTCTTACTCCGGTTCCCCATATTCCCACCCCGCTTCCCCACATTTCATCCTCGGAGCCTGCTCCGGTTACCGAGCCTGAGACTACCACTACTGAAGATGCCCCCAGCCATGTGCCTTCGAGTACCAGCGCTGATGGGCATTACACTACCGTCGAGATCGAAAGCACATTGTATACCTTTACAAAACCAATGTCGACTTCGGTCACCAATCAAACAAGCAGCCCCACCTCCAGCACGACCACCACTCCAAGTACCACTACCTCTCGCCAACTGAACGCCACCAACACCCCAACGCCTGAGCCAGTGGGAGCCGCAGGAACTACCATGGTCCCAGTGGGCATGCTCCTCTGCATTGTGTTTACGGCCGTCTTTCTCCTTGCTTGATTTAGGGCAACTCAATGATCATGATCACACATATCGATGATCGCCAGCGTTTTATTGATCCCTGGAATTATTTGATTTTTCTATCACCTTGCTCACGTCCTTGCTCATACATCCTCTCTTTATTCTTTATTCTCTATTCTTTATATTTTTCAAAGGTGTTTTTTCTTTTCTTTCGTCTTTTATTCTTTTTAACTGCATGCATCATTATCATGATATCGGTTTGCATGCTATTGTTGGCTTTTTTACTTCATTCTACTGTATCCTGCAATGATGGCATTAATTCCATCCATCTCTCATCACCAGCCGAGATACGCTTTAGTTATTAGATCACGGTGATCTTGTGGTCAAAAGAAACAAGCTTTTACGTTTATCCAGTTCAGATTGATTATTTACGTAAACTTAAAAGCCACACTTCTACCATCGCTTTGCATGTAGCCTCGAGGCTACTTTGCACGACTAGATTTAGGTTCATGGATCCCTGCCCCTCTTGTGGACTTCGTCCTCACTGACATGGCACGTGTACTGGGTGAGCTTTATGAACTGGGGGCGAGATCAGCCTCTACGAGGGCCTGGGACTTTTTCTCGTACCCGGACTTGATCTGGGACTCATTCCCTAATCAACCTTACAACCAGACTAACCAGCCTCGACTCGTAGGCACCATATTCGTCTTCTTAAAAAAACATACTACACATGCAGTCTCGTTTATATTACCAACCCGATTAAAAATCAAACCTCCTAAAAAAACGCCAAAAAGAAATAATTCCGTCACCGGGAATTGAACCCGGGTTCTCAGAGCGCACACACATCAGGGATCTTTAATCCCTAACAAATGAGAGTCTGAAATGCTAGCCACTACACCATGACGGATAGATTGGTTGATGTCTAGATCAGCGGGTTGGGGACTATCTTTGGATAGAAGGTTTTGTTGATGAGGTATAGCTCTGTTTCGTTACGGTCAATTCTGGGCATGTGCATTTTTTGCTTCCATCTATGAAGGGGTCTGACAGTTAATTACCTCGCAGCAGAGGATACATAGGTACCAGGAGAAGTACTTGGCTGCATGCAGTCTATTATGTACCTACCTACCTAAGTATATCTAATACCCACGAGACGACTACTACCGACTACCGGGCTGGGAGGGAAGGTTTTTCTGTTCTCGGAAAAGTACTATAGCTACTTGCCTAGATCTGTTAGTCTCGTGCCCCAGATCTGTGAAAACTTTCCACACGAAGACTGGCTTAGAGTCCCCTCTACGTTAGACAAAGTACTTACGAGGGGGCTGAGAATGAGAACGAGAACAGGAACGAGACTAGTAAAGGCCTCTACTTACAAGGTATGAGTTACCTAAGTAAGTATGTAGTTTCATAGGCCTCGCACAAAGTGTTCCCGTTCTGGTGGGAGTAGGCGCACGAGGCAACGTCCTCTGAGCAGGCATGGTACAGTACTTAGCCTCGTCCCTGGTAGAAGAAATACACAGCCTAAACTCGCCTCTAGACCTTCGCAGCCAACATCTGCAGATTCGCTAACGTTCCAGACCTCCGTAGCCTCTCGGAACTCGGTTTGAGCTCGTCTAATTCTTCGGTACTTGGTATCTCCGCAGTATCTCAACGTCCATTGTTTGGCCATGATCAAAGCGATATAATTCCCATCAATCTAAAAGAACTAGGTAAAGCAACACAACTCTCGCAACCACGACTGCACAAAATGAAGGTCATCTAGTATCATGATCAAAATGAATGTATGAATGCAAGAAACAAAGAAACCCAGCAAAAGCCTCAAAAAATTCCCTTCTCCATGATCAAGGACAAGATAAACAGGTAGAAAAACGAAATTAAACCCCAATGAATCCCCATCGGTATCGACGCCCAGATGCAGTGAGATGCATTGCATAGAGTCAGAAAAGGAATACACCCTGTGGAATCACCGCACCTGAGCTATGAACGCCCACACAAGACCCACCATTCCATTGCCCATCTCAAGCCCCCGCTTGCATTTAAAGCTCATCAAATCTCTGCCCATACCTTCTCTGCCCATGACCCCCATGAGCATTCATATTCGTAGCCTCCCTCTTCTTCATCATCTTCATCTTCATCCCCAACGACTCGCACCTCGGGCCGGTACACCTATATGAATTGGGGTTGGAATCCTTTCCCTTCTTCTTCTTCTTCTTATCCTGTCCATCAACCTGAGCATCTCCTCCATTCTTCTTCTTCTTCTTTGGCAATGGATCTGGATCGGCAGATCGACGACTGATTGGGGCATGTGGTGCGTCAAACTCGCCATCAAAAGGGGCGTCCACAGCAGGGATATAATCTCTAGAGTGGAGCATACCAAAGAGAGGAGTAAAAGACGGAGCATGGTGATTCGGATCACGAGCAAAAATTGGCAGGGACTCGTCCGGCTGCTGCTGGTTGTGCGGTGGCTCTGAACGACGGGTTTTGTGGGAAATTGGGTAGGGACGGTCGTCTGGACAGATGCAGTCCTCGTCGGGATGTGGCCGGTAACCACCCAGGCATTCGCAGGGCTCTTCGGCCCGCCCCGGTGTGCTCATGGAGTGGGCCTCGCAGCGGCGGCACGGAGGACATCCTTCGGGCCGGCTATCTGCATTGCGAGCAGAAAGATGAGGATTCCCGGCCTGGATAGATGGAGTGTAGGCTGGCCGTTGGTGATAGCGGAGATATGGTACCACTGGATCCCTGGCGTACTTGTGGTGCTCCTCGTGGTCTTCGGGATCACTTTCATGCCCATCTTCATGGTCGTACATGCTATGAGACCTTGGGTATACCTTGTGTTTGGGCTCTCTCTCCTCGCCCCCCTCGGCATGGGCATCAGGATCTTGCTTGTCGGAGGTGGAGACGGATATTGGCTGGTATTGCCCGTGAAAGTACTCGATGGGCAAGGAGATGACTTTTGGCTTTCGTCGAGGGGGGTTAGCCCCGTCCACAGGAGGGGGGTTCGCCTCGGGATGGTCTTTGGCAGAGGGGTCTTTCTGGGGATGCTCGTCGTTGTCTGTGGGGTGTGCATAGGCAGAACGTCGTTGGAAGGCGTGCTGGGGCATGGCCTGGATGGCATCCTCGGTGTGAAGCTCGTCGTACGGAGGAAGACGGACGGCTGCTGCCCGAAGGACGCTGGAGAGGAGGAACAGCAGTGCGAGCGTGCGAGGCCTGAACATCTTGCTGGCTGTGTCGTTGGGATGGGAGGATGGAGCCTCTGGCGAAGAGAAGGATGTGAGTAGAGACGATGGAGAGAGCAGAGGATCGAGGTTGGGGAGGAGGCCGAGGGCCCGTCCCCATGGCCGGGCCCCTCGTAGCGGGCAGCCTCTTGGCCTCCTTCCATCTTGCGTCTGCAGGGCGCAAAGAGGAAGCATCCCAATGCGGCCACCATCGGCATCACCAGCACACGGCCCGATCACGCTGCCGGCACCTCTCAAGCCCGCAGCCTGTCTTCCGGCCTCTCGCATCCCCCGGTAAAGTATCAAAGCCCTATGCCTCCCCATAATGACTTTGTTCACCCGCGCGTGATCGACAATGAAACCTTGGGCACTCCTCCAGAACACTGCCGCCCGGCCAGCCGGTTGCTTCTCCTTCACACACCGCACCGGCTCGCCCGCCTTGCCGTCCGCCTTCCCGCCCGCCTCGAGCCGTGTCCGCTGTCCGCTGTCCGCCCACGATACCCGGGCGCATGTCCATCGAGATCGCACGCACAACATACACACGCACGCACGCACGCACGCACGCACGCAGCTGGATCGCACGGCCGCAGTCACAGATCTGATATGATCTGATACACTCACGGTGGAGTGAGGGCACCGAGACCTAGAGGGGGGGGCCCATCAACATTCCACCGAGGGCACACCCTCGGCACACCCACAACACACAAACATCCACAACACACACTCACACACAAAGGCCCTCCTCGATCTCTCGACGACGCCTCCATCCCTCTCTTCTTTCCCTCAGACGTGTCAAGTTACTCAACCGCATACCTGTCTTTCACACACCTGAGTGTAGACGTTTCTGTCGTTCACCAATACTCATCCACGCCCTTCCCCCCACGCGGCCTTCAACCCTTGAACGCTCGCCAACGATGCCTTTTTCCATCGCCAAGTCCGTCATGCTTCTTGCAGTGGCGGTTGCCCACTTTGGATCACTCGCTGCTGCAGCGCGCGACCCAAAATCCACTGCTCTAAACCAAATGTGTTACGTGCAGCAGCTCAATTTGTGTCGTTTCAACAACGCAAGAGTCAGCATCAGGGATAAGCTTTTGGAAGATGTCATGAAAGACATTCCAGCCAACGATCCGAGACTCAAATACCTGAACCCCGTCTACCTTAATGACCGCCCGCAACCTGAGAACTATGGCGCACCAGAGAACGAGGAATTCTGGAAAATCATGAACTCTTGGAACCGCGTGATGTGGGACTTCAAAAACGAGCTCATGGAACGTCCGGACTATGTGCTCCCACCTGTTGATTATGATGCAGAACCCGATCCAGCAATGGAAGGAATCAACTTTTACGGCGATAATTGCTGTACGTCACTGTTATCCATTTGATGCTTTGTTCTTTCTCCTGGTGATTGTTTGTTGTTGCTAACTAGAATATGCTTCAAAATGAGTAGGCCCCACCGGATGGCAATGCTTGAAACATCACAACTACAAGATGGATTCTTTTTGTTACGCCAATAAGTACGTATCACGTTCCTTATTTTCTCCGGTTGCTATTCATCCAATCGTCCACTAACATGCTCATTACTTGACCCCCACAGATCTATTTTGATTACTGAGGAGCCTCATGAAGATATCGCTGCAGCAAAATTGAATCTATTGACCTTCGAATACACACGCCAAGATGGGGCCGTCATGAACCTCTTGGAACGCTATCTCAAGGAGCATCCGGAGGAGTTTGAACCTTCCACCACGGTCACTACTTCACGTGGTTTGACCACCTCTCTTCCAAAGACGACGTCTGTGTTTCGTGGAAACCTTTCGATTTCCTACACCACTTCAGCAACTACTTCCACCATGCAAGTCGGGCTCCCAAACTCGACCACCAGCGCTGGCGGCGAAACAGAGACAGCGAATTCCGCTGCAGGCCCCGCCCATGGGCAGGCCCAGACCCAACGCATTGTATCAATTGCGAAAACAATTGGCGGAATAGTTAGCGCATGGATGTTGATCTAGGGATGCATGGGTGCTAGCACTTGTGGAAGATGGCAAAGGCCTTTGACCTGATAATGGAGACAATCGCTCTCGGTTATGCTGCCACTCTGTAGGTTTGTCTTTTACTTGTTTGCTCTCTATTGTTGTCATAATTGCGGAGGTGTCTACATTTTACCTCCACATCTTTTTTTTTTTAGTTCATTCCATGGACAATCTCTTTGTTTTTTCTTACTTCATACGTTTTGAGGTGACGACATTTTACCTCCTGTTTTTCTTTTGTATCTCTTCTTCACCAATTTTCCTCTCATGCTCATACTTTCGGAGGTGTCTACATTTTACCTTCCCAAGTTGTTTAATTTTCATCTCTTGTATCTTTTTTTCTTTTCTTCTCATACTGTCGGAGGTGTCTACATCTTACCTCCTCACTTTTTTTTCAACTTGTTATCTTGTATCTTTCTTTTTCTTCTTGCTTTCTTCTTTACTATGCATACCACATGGCCACCGGTATCCCCCGGTAACCCCGTCTGTATACGTTTCTGTCTCTGTTTCTGGGAAATGTGATCGCGAGATCAAGTCCCCACTCAACCAGGACAGCACACCGTCATATACCACCGGTTACCATGGATGGTCATGCTTCATGTATGCCCTCTGTTAATTTTCTTTAACTTTTTTATCTTCTCTTTTTTTTATATCATGAATTAATCATG